GATCAATAATATTAACAACAATTTTTGTGATTTGAACCTGAGACTGCAAGGGAAGCAAACCCCTTAGCCCCAAGCATTTACCACTTGGCCGACAAAGGTTTTAACTTTTAATGTTCACAGTTCAAAACATCTACCCCATTGAATTACTGAAGAACATCCTTTCCACCAACTATTGTATCACTATTTTACTCTTATTCTAATCAAACCAAACACTTTGATTGGAAACTCCATTCTGTTTTCTTTTTAATTCAAACAATACAAAACGAGTTGGAAAAGAGAAATCGCCATTTCTGTTTTGTAATTCTCTTGTGAGACTATCCATTATTATTAATTAGTAGCTGTAGCACATTAAAAATGATCATTTAGTCTGCTTTTAATCTTTGATCATATCAGAAAATCTTGCAGAGGTTTATGAGCTCCCTCTAGTACCGTCGGAATAATCAGCTTAAAAGTGCTAACAATCTGTCTTATCCTCGCTCAATGCGGAAGAATGCCATCACCTTGAACACAAACATTAATCATCTTCCCACAGAAACAGCCCAAGGGCATAGCCTGCTATGACAAACTTCAAAATCCAAACCGGGGAGGTTCCTATACAGAGAATGAGGGAGCATATGAAATAACTGTAGCGGATGATTCGTTCTCGTTTAGTACCACGGTTGACCGCGGAGCTAATCCCGGCCAACAAGCTATTATACAAAAATCTGAGAGTAATATCAATCAATAAGATCAGGGCGCCAACTGGTCAAGCTTAACTGGATTGGCAGCTTGGAACTTGTATTGTTAAAATAGGAATGCAGCAAAGAGATGACGAAGCGGAAGAGGCATTTCCTTCTGAGTAAAGACTTGGAGGTGGAGATTGATTCAGAAGTGTGTTTAATTATGGTCTGATTGGAATTGTAAGCTGAAGGGAATATTTATAATCTCTTTTCACTAAATTCAATTTGATAGCATCTGATTTTGCCTATTTTGCTGTTACTTAAGGTAAGAAATAATAATATTTGGGCTTTGCTTATGCAATTAAGCCATCTTTTTTAACATAGTTTTTTTCCTTCAAATTAAGTGACAGCCATTATAACTTCGAACATGGAATTTATTTAATTTTATCTTCTATGATAAAGAAAGATCATGGGGTCTTTATGATAAAGGGACTGCATTATAACTTTGATAATGACTTTAAGAATTGTTTTAATCATATTTTATTCTAACAAATAGTACTATTTCTTCTAACTTATGATACATTTGAGAACGAATTAACATTGACTGATTGACACAGTGTTGGGTAACACGGTTCAAGTGAGCTCCATACTCAAAGTTTAATAAGTTTTAATCAGGAAGCCAATGAGAGGCGGTTTATTGGAAAGAAGCCCAACTTCTTCAGATAATCAAAAGGACTACTACCAAATTATTAAAAAAAAAAAAAAAAAAAAAAGATACAATATAAACATAATTAGAGATGTGAAATTAAAATTTTAAGGACAATCAAGAATAAGCAATTCTTGGTTTTTCATTTTGGATTGAATCCCTCTGCACCAGGTGCTCTTTCCATTATTGAACCGTTTTATTATAATCTTACAAACAAGTTTCCATCAATCTCATTGTCTCAAGCAAAAGAAACAATAAAGATGGATATCGAAACAACAGAAAAATAGTTATGGAGTTTGCTTAATCAACACTTGGGAGTACTAGCAAGATCCTAAGACTTCTGGGAATCGGAACCAGACCCGTCTGATTTTTTAAAAACCCGACTCCCGAAGAGCAAGAACCCAACAGCATGGCCCAAAATAGCAGCAATAAAAACACCACCATTAAAGGACATAATAGCAAGTATAACCATATACGCCAGACCAGCACGCACCGAATGCAAAGCAGTCTTGAACAACCCAGTCGCCACGCGACTAGCCCCCGGCTCGATGAGCTTGCAGTTACCAAGAAACTCCACCAGCACCGCAAGAACAAACACTAACATCAAGGCCAAAGCATACATGCTTGAGCTCGAATCTGGCCACCCTGGAAACAAAATCTCCGTTTTGTGGCCCCAATAGAATGTCGCGTGCGTCAACGATTTCCGGTGCAAGTGCAGCCCCGTCGTGTTCCAGGCCTCTGTGGTTATAGGCTCAACGACCTCAAGTGATTTTGAACCCATCAAAACCATTTCTTCTTTGTTTGGTTTTGCCAAGGAAAGCTGTAGGGTTTAAGAGCTAGCCTTGTAAAGAGGGAACATAAATAGAGCTTTAATTTTGAGACTTTGTTTTCCTTTACACTTTGTCGGGCTTTTACTGATCCACTCTCATTTAGAAACTTAATTTCCAGGTTTTGTATCACCGCAATTTTGGCTCTGAAAGTCGCTTCTTTTAAGTTTGCAATGTATGTTTCACAAGGAAATCAAATGTGCTTTGATTGATTTCCAAGTAATCTCTTGAGGAAAAGTATGCATAATATTTTAGACAACTGGGATTGTGTGAGCCCACAAAAAGAGTACGACTGCCACGTAGAGATTTAGCTCTGATACGTCTGCTTATTGGGCTCTGATACGTCTGCTTATTGGGCCTTAGTTCTCTGGATTTTTGTTTCATAGAATACAAAATTATAGAATCAGTATGAGACTGACTGGAAACTTATCGAGTCTAATTGATATAATATCAAATCAATAAGAGATGCTACATGTAGACATAAAGCTAAGGATTTGTTCGATCGATCTTTGTTTATATGATTAAAAAAGAAAGGAGAATCAATGTCATAAACAATTAATTAAGTTGAAAATTAACGCACTCAAGATCAAAACAACCCACTTTCTTTATTTTAATCATCACTTTGTGGTTGAATGGTCATTAAGATTTGTAGATGTATTACTGTTTCAACTTGTTTAGGATCATTTAAGTTTTTTACTGTGTTTTTCTTATTTTATTTAGAGGATTTTTTGTTTATTAATTTAGATTTTATTTCCTTGCTTGTTCAAAGTCTTGTTAGAGTTTGACTGCTATTGCCGTATATAAACATATTATTTATTTTTGGAAATTATTCAATGATTATTCAGATTTTACTTCAAATTTTATGACCTAAGTGTATGTGATTGAGACTTGTTTATCAATTCTAAGGATATAGTCGGGTGTTAGCCTTGTTGTTACGCTAACTCAGTACGTCAATTATTCAAAAGATCTTAAGTTCGATTAATCTTAGCCCTTAAAGGGGTGGTCATTGGAGACTTATTCGATCGTTAACTTCAGGGCCTTCAGTGATTAATTAAGCTGCGTGCAAGTTGGTCTGGATACCCAAAAAAAAATTCTTTATTTTATAGATGATGAGAGTATTACTTAAACCCGCGTTTTAGTACCTAAATTTGGAATTAAAATTAATTTTAGATTTGTCAAAGCCATATTCCCTAGAAAATTAATTAAGGAGGCCGGCCACCAACATAATTATTGAAATTTCAGATTTATTGAAATTTTTTGCGGCTTTTACATAAATAGAAGTGAACATGCGATTTGAGGAAAGAAAAAAAAAAAAAAAAAGGTCCTCCACGCGTTCATGAGAATTCGAATTTAAATAATGATAATAGAAACTTAGAAAAAATAATTTCAAAATTCAGTATAAATTAATAGTTCTTATTTTGGACCAACAAAGCAACCACCTATTGAACAAGGAAATTTAATTACTGAAGTGAAACTAGTACCCAATTGCAAGGGGACGAAGGCGTGATTACTGAACAAACATGTGAGATTTTTAGTGGTACTGGAATTGCTTAAATGTTTCGATTGGCGAATCCACTTTTCAAAATGGCTTAGAATATGGTATCATCGATCACTTCAGTTAACATCAATGTTCTTCTTCATATCTCCTCCACAGATAGCACATCATCAATACTACAAAGAAGCATCAGAATTTTTTTTGGACAATAATGACGCAAACAATTGTATGTCATGGTTTCTGATGAAAAAAAAATTGGATTATTACACTGAGAGAATGACATTTTCCCACCCAAGGTTTAGCGAATACATTGTATTGAAATTTAGACATTAGTTTTAACTGCAAAAGGTGATTCTCATTAGTTTGCACAATATATATTAAAGGGTTAATATTCTTACATCCCTAAATTACAAACACTTAGACAATTAACTTCAACAACTTGGGAATTAGCCATTTAAATTCCTTATCTTCAATTTCTATAAGTACAAAGGAGATTTCACTTTAAAGTATGTATTTTTCTGAAAAAAAATTAAAATTGTATACTTTATTTTTAAAAATTACAATAATATCAATCAATTAAATATTTATAAAACTACAAACAATATTTCATTAAAATTATATATATTGCATGTTGATGATGGCGCCGCTGTGGAGTGCCGGAATCTACAAGCATGTCGAAATTGAAGAACTCATTGTCGCCACAAAGCTCCATCCCAAGATCTCTCTATGGGAATCATTGAGTTTTTGAAATTTTAATTATTATTATTTTTTTTTGGATTTTTTAAATTTTAATAACTAACTTTCTTTAATTTTTTTAAATTTATTAACCCTAAAACTAACATAAATCAAACTAGGGATGAAAAATACCTTTAATAAAGTTTGAGTGAGAAAATGTTGTTCAACCTTGTTAAAAATTAAAAAGTAAAATAGTAACAGGTATTATAATCTTTTCATAACTTTACCCCTATCAAGTAACAGATTCTATTGATAGAGATTAACTGTGGGTGTAAAAATTTTTATTTGCCAAACTTTGGGAGGGGAAATGTCATTTACTCTTAATACACATTATACGCTGGCCATCGTCGGTCCAGCAGTGGGTAATGACCGATAAAACAACATATATTCAAACCTTAATCACCGGACACGGAAACAGGATATATTTCTGCGGGGCCTGAGGCAGATATTGTTTATTACAAACTCAAATAGCAAACCTATCACCTGGCACACACTTTCATGATACATCACATGTTACAAATCTTTATTTACCACGCTTAATTTATAAATTTCCCTCAGGAAATTTGAGTAATAATATGCTAAAATAATTTTTCCGATCCGCGTGGGCCGGTAATAGGAATGGCTATGGAGTAATGATGATTCTTCATGTCTTTCTTGGGAATCGTCACAGTGAGCTCTTCCTTCTCCATATGAGCTCTAATCTTATTCTTATCAAGCTTAGCTTTATGAGGCAATTCCACACGTGTCAGGAATTTCATATTCTCCGTGTAATTCCACCTCGCTTGTTTTTCAATCTTCTCGCCGCTTATACAGAGAACTCTGCCGTCCTCTATTTCCAACTTAACGTCATTCCTGCTGAGCCCTGGAAGATGGATTTTGAAGATGTATGCATCCGGGGTGTCACTCCACTCAGTACTAGCGGTGCCGCTGACCATCGATCTCGAGAAAGCATTGTGTGGCACAGTGATATTTGCTTCGGAATGAAAATTGTGGAAGCGGCTGCGGTCGTCCCATGTATCGACATAGTATGGACGAATTCCAGGATCGTACATGAAGTTTCCTGGTGCATTATAGTGACTGCGCCCTGGAGTCAGAGACATCGTTGTTAATTATACACAAAACTCAAAAGTGTTTTAAGAGTTGTTGGTGCATAACGGGTGTTGTGGGAAGCTGTATTTATAGGCAAAGCCCGATGAGCATGGAAATATAAATTTGTGGTGTTAATTGTGGAATGATGCTGAAAGAAAAAGCATCATCTTTATGCAAAGGATATGAATGGCATCAAGAAAAAAAAGAAAGGAAATTTTCAGGGTGAAGAAGAATATGAAACCAATTGATATATACATGGTATACGAATCAATTATAAATTTGGACCAGCTGGCTTGGCTAGTCTTTATCAGAATATGTACAGGTAGGTAATTTCAATCTGTCGACATATATATTGCTGCAAAACCAGAAGAAATAAGGCAATCAAAATATCACCAACTAGGCGAATCCACCTTTTAAAATGGCAAACAATAAACATCAGTCCAGTCAACATCACTGATGTTCCTATATATCAGTAAAACCTGAATTATTGCACATCACAAATGCAAAGAAGCATAGATATTACAAGGACAATAATGAGAGATTCAATGGCTTGTTTTCTTTAGAAGTCCAAACCACCAAAGGTTTCGGAAAACAGGCAGTGAACATCAGTTAGTATTACACCACATATTATCTGAATACTGACTATAGTGTCTGGTGGGTCTAGCACTGAGAAATGAGTATGGATGATGTTAATATGTTTGATCAAATCAATTTAAATGGCTGACGCCAGAGGAGATGACTCTTCGGAGGGAATTAGAAGTACTGCTAAATATATAACATCAGTGATGCAGCTTGTTAATCCGGACTAGCTAGCACAAGATGCAAAGTTTACTGTCAAGGAACTCAACAAATTGAAATACAATTCTTCACTATGTAATGAATATTGTTGGAGTCCTACACCAACTAGACAAACTCAAGCCAACTGGTTTATAAGAAGGAGTAATCCTAACATTAAACAAGAACTTATTAGGTAAGGAGTCAGACACACATCAAATTCTATCATGGTATAAAAGCCCATGTTCAGTTGAGCTGAATGATTGAACAACGGATGAAGAGTTAGAACCAGAAATTATATCTATTAAAACAAACATGACCCAACATATGAGCTTGATTATGAGGGAGATTATTGAAGTCCTACATCGACTAAACACACTCAAACCTTATAGTTTATAAGAAAGGATAATCCTAATATTAAAAAAAACATTATTAGGTGAGAAGTTAAACACACCAAAAATTCTATAAAATATATTTGTCCAATTTGAATCTTCTTTATGGGGAGCATAAATCTCTCATTTATCTGCTGGTTTTTCTACTCTGGTAATCCACTTGAACAGAAGGGTTCGTAAGAAGAATATATGTATTACTTCATAATTTTTTAGAAATTGACAAGAATGTCCCTGAAAGGTTCTTTCTTCATCTCTTTTATAGAAATTGACACAGCGAGTACTGCATTCTGCATCTGACTCCATGGAATAATTACCAAACACAGGATTGTACAGAGCGTTCCCTGAAACCCTGGCATAATTATCTTTATGCAAAGAAAAAAAAAAAAAAAAAGGAACTTGTATAATATAACTAAAATCAATTAAATAATGTGTAGGAATCAAGAAAAAATGGTCAGGTCTTTGTGCTTGATAGAGACATAGAGTAGTTCTTATCAGAATATATAAAGTTAATCTCAATATGTTTTCACCAATGTTGGTGGGCTAGGGTATGAATTACATATGGATCATTTACCGAGCAACTTTAGCATCTTATTTTTCTCTCTGATTTACTGACCACTAATTTTATTATTATTATTATTATTATTTTAATATAACGTTGTCATTTGTTCTCAATTAAATAGTTCCGGTTCAAACAATTACATGCTGATTTTTCCTCTTTATGCTGAAGTTTTAATTAAAAAAATTTCATCATCAACTGTCATTGAAGCATTATAAAAAATTCTCATCTAATAATTGTAACGTGGAGATAAATGACTAAACCTCTTTTAAAGGTTTGATTCCCATAACTAGCCGGTAGGAAAATATATGACCATTTATTCATTAAAAAACCAAAAGATTCCAAAATATCAACCTTTTTATTATCAATGCGAGCGTAGTCATACAAAAAAAATATTATAAAGATTTTTACATAAAGAGATGTGACAAAAAATGAATAGAATAGTAAATATAATAAGTTTGACTTTTTTTATTCATTTTTTGTCGGATAACTTTGTATATTAATCTTTGTAAGTGTTTTTGTACGTCTATCATTATTAATATTTTGCCTGATCTCATTGCATTCGATCATCGTTTCATCAGGCCCAAGCCCTGTTAGGATCCCCCATCGCGATCTCACAGCCATCAAATGTGGTACTTAAACCTAGGGGCTCTTCCACCTATCAGGCTGGTTTTTTGGGTTGGACTCTCCTTTGGGTTTGAGTTCTAACATTGGTGCTTTTCGTTGAGAGTTGGGCTACGAAAAGGGCTATCTATAGGTTAAATTAAGGTGCAATGTGCATTGAATGACTGATAGGTGAGTGAAGTCGGCCAAAGGAGGAAAGGGCTACCGTAGGGTTAGTGTCGATAGAGTGAAAGCTGCCGTGGACATCGGCTCTTGAAGGGGGGTACAATGTTAGGATCTCACATCGGGATCTCACACCTACCAAATGTGGTACTTAAACCTAGGGGCTCTTCCACCTATCATGCCAGTCTTTTAGGTTGGGCTCTCCCTTGAGCTTGAGTTCTAACAAGCCCCCATAAAATTCATCAGTAGTTGCCATTTTGTATTTTAATAAGGGTAAAAAAGTAATCTTGTTTTTTAAATTAAAAAGTAATTTTATATTTTAAATCTATGTTTTATCATTAATTAAGAGGTATTCTAAAGAGAATAATACTATTAGTATAAACTCTTTGTATAAAATTTTTCATACAACCTTATATAAAACAACAAAGTATCCAAACACATCTAAAAATCACTCAATTTTAATAATGAAAAAAGATAATATCAGATAAATCAAATATATTAAAAGGAAGATTTATTTATATTAAGTTATTCTATTTATAATAAAATAGTAGGTTTTATTAAATATATTTATTCTCTATGGAAGAAAATAACTCACCTTTTATTCATTGAATGATATTTTATGATTAATGACAAAGACTTTTATCAAATTATTTATTAAGAAAGCTGCATCAATAAATCGAAAAACGAATTTTATTCTAAATAAAAAAGTGATTCGTAAGCAATAGAAAATGAAGAGAGGATTGTTATAATAAGCTTTGATATAAGATTATAAACTTGAGAATAATATACCAATAAAAATAATAGATTCGATCATTAAAATATAAGGAATAAAGTTAGATATAAGAGATTTTAACGAAGATATTAATGTATTGAAAGATGGTACATATTTTTACGCAAAATTAGAATTTTTGCCGAGTACACTCTTTTTCGAAGTCGGAAGTAGCCTTTATTGTTAAATTTTATTACAAATTTAACATTTAAATAGGGTCAACTAATAATATAGGTGGGACTAAAAATCACTACGCACAAACAAATCATAACATACTTCTTTGTTGATGGCCCTTAAGTTTAGGGCCTATACTCAGATGAGCCCATACACCAGAAATTTCTCAATATTTCTCAATGATTTGAAAGCCATTTGCCACGCAAGGCAAGAGGAAGAAGATGGTGGAAGGTTGGAGAAGGGATGAAACATGGCCTGTCCAGAACAACTTTTAGATAAGAGAAGAACCCCGAAATTTCAAGACCTCGTAACCGAAATCCCTATAAATATCACTGTCAATGCTTTACTCAAGTCATCAGTAACACTCAAAGCTACCAAAAGCAGTCGTACTCTCCGGAAACAATTATCAAGTCTAACGCGTTTCTTATCATTCACTTAGTTTAATCAAAGATGTCTCTAATTCCATCTCTGTTCGGCAACAGGAGCGTATTCGACCCATTTTCATCTGGCAATTGGGCGCCATTGAGCTCCAACAATGAGCTATCACAATTTACAAATGCCCAAGTCGATTGGAAGGAAACCCCTGAAGCTCATGTATTCAAGGCTGATCTTCCCGGGCTCAAGAAAGAAGAAGTAAAAGTTGAAGTCGAAGAAGGAAAAGTTCTTCAGATAAGTGGAGAGAGGAGTGTGGAGAAGGAGGACAAAAATGAAAAGTGGCATCGTGTTGAGAGGGGGCGTGGAAAGTTCCTGAGGAGATTCAGGTTACCAGAAAATGCCAAGGTTGATCAAGTGAAGGCATCAATGGAGAACGGTGTTCTCACTGTTACGGTCCCAAAGATGGAGGAGAAGAAGCCAGAGGTCAAATCAATTCAGATCAGTGGTTAAGCGGCCGACATTGCAATGCTATGTTATTGAGTCCTTGAGGACTCCTACTGAATTTTATTCATCAGCTTTCTTGTTTGTGAAGTGTGGTGTGTTTTATACAGAGTGGTGTGACTCTTGATTTTCTGTAAAATGTCAAGTGTACTGTTGGTTTAAGGTAATAAAAATATTGTTATTTGAATACCTTTGATCCATCAAGAATGATCAGGCTCATAGCAGTCCATCCATTGAAGATAAACACAGAGCAATGTGTTCTGATATTATATTGAAACTTAGAATTCTCAGATAAACATCAAACGGTTATTAACATTTCAGTTGTAGATAAAAGAACCTGTTATTTCACACATATATGTACCTGGATGAGCTAAGAGGTCATTGATTTGATATCCTGGATCAACTTCTCTAAGTTGATAAAAGAAGACCCGTCTTCCTTGATACTATCACGAGCCAGCTTTGCTAATTTATTAGCCGATGCCATGATCTCTTCTGTCTTATTATCCATCAGTGCTCTTACTAATTTCTCAACAATTGATCTATCACACGTGTCCTTCATATCAAATCCCATTTTCCAAACCTCACTCACACACCTGCTATTAACCGGTTGGTCAGCAATTTGAGGCCAACAAATCATAGGCACTCCAGCGACAATGCTCTCTAACGTTGAGTTCCATCCACTGTGCGTCAAAAACCCACCAATGGCCGGGTGCGACAGGACCTCCTCTTGCGGAGCCCAACTAACAAGGAGCCCTCTTTCCATGACCCCCTTTTCCAGCTCCATCATTGTATGACCAATGGCGGCATCTCCAACAATCAAGTCAGGTCGTATGACCCATAAGAACGATTTTTTGCTGTTAAGTAAGCCATACAAGAATTCTAAGATTTGGTCACTAGTGAGACTTATCACACTCCCAAAACTAACATATAATACTGATCTTGACGGTTGAGAATCAAGCCACCTCAAACATTATTTGTCCTCTTTCCATAAAATACCATTGGAAGAATTTGAAGATGAGGAGTCATTGATACGTGACTTCAAAGTATGTAGCGGACCAATGGCGTAAATTTTGTTGAAGAAAGAACCCAGTCTAGTTATTATCGGGGCTTCAATTTCATTAACGGTGTTAAGTATAAGACCAGAAGCTCGAGTCAATGCAGAGGTTTCTTTAACAAAAAACTGCAAAACAGGGTCATCAGCGTTTTCGAATCTACAAATCCCTGGAAGATCTCTACGGCGAAGAACATTTTCTAGTCCAGGAATGCATGAAATGGGTTTGTCAAAATTTTCATCTGCAATTACATCAAGGATATAGCATCACTACGACTGTTTTAATTTTAACATTTTCAATGAAAGCTTCTCAGTTAATAAGAAAACATTAAGGTACGATAACTACAAAGTTAGCGGACCATACACATGGGGTAACGTTACCCCCTAACTTAAATATAGATATTCTGTTGTCTTGTGAATCTTGTCCCTTATATAGAGTTATACAAAGTTTTCTAGTTATAGTGGCTTCCCCAATATGGTATCAAGGTAGACTAGTGGAGCTTTAATTTTGGCAGAAAAAATAATTCTCTAATAATAAGAATAGTAATAATAACGCACCTTGAAATGGAACTTCTCCTTCTTCAATAAGCTTGGAAAGATGGAAGTAAGTCCACAAGCAATGAGCACTGTAGGTTCGGAAAGAGAGAGTAGGAATTTCAAACTCTTGTGCAACATCAATGGCAAAGCACAGAATACCATCTGCTATTATGCACGTTGGGAGCTGACACGGCCCTTTCCCTTCTTTAAGCGAAATCAAGAGCTGACGTAACGCTGGCTTGAACACGGTCCTACTCGACTGAAACAAATCTCTGATATATAGACGGCCGGAGCGTGGGTGATCGGGCGGTAGACCATCAGGGATAGATATGAACTGAAACTTAGGGAAGCGATTATGGAAAAAGGATATGTCAGAGTTGTGCAGGAGACGATCATAGTTGTGATCTGTGTTTATAAAGGTAGCTTGAAAACCCGCATGGCTAAGAAGATCGGCAAGACTCAGCATGGGCTTGATGTGCCCCTGCGCTGGGAAGGGCAAGAAGAGCACGTGAGGAACGTTTGTTTTCTCCATTGTTGCGATGGTTTCAATGTGAAGAAAATGGTTGAATGTTAGATGAGATAATTAAAAACTTTGAAATATAAAAAACAAGGCAGGCTGGCAGCTTGATGTAACAATGAATTGAAGTTTAGAATAAAATAAATTAATGCATTAAACAATGGGATCTTGTTGTCACCCCTTAACTGGCTTTGGTTATGACATTTCTTAGTGTTTTATCTGACTACAACCAAAACAAAATGTTAGACAAAACGTTGTTCTCAGAAGTCCAGACCACCATTAAAAACAGAAAGTGGTTTCCTTTTTAATTGTAACTTAGGAACACAGACCGATTGTTTTTTTAGTGTTTTTAATATTTTTAGAATTCAGGGAAGGTCACGCTGAGTGAAGGGCAGGGGAAACGAAATTGCCATTGGTTATCTCTATTTAATTCATCATGCTTACTCTATAAATAGTTAAAACTAGGTTGTTTAAGGATGAAGAAACTAGTGAAGCACAAGATACAGAGCAGGATTCATGTAAAATCAACTGCTAGGGTTCCAAAAATGAAGGAGAAGAAGCCAGAGGTCAAATCAATTGAGATCAGCGGTCAAGCGGCATACGTCGCAATGCAATGTAATTCATCAGTTTTCTTGTTTGTCAAAGTGTGGTATATATTATACAGAGCAATGTAATTGATCTGATCCATTAGCTTATGTAATATATCAACTGCCAGTTAATAAAATTATGTTATTCGAGTAAGAACAATCTGAATAAGCTTTGATCTATATATCATGAATTAATAAATAAGCTCATGGCATTCCATCAATTGAAGAAATTAAGTTGCTGTTTTAAAGTAGAGTGACATGTAGAGCATTATATTCATCAGAAAATGATAGCATTCAAGTAAGCACAGTTTCTGGAGCAGATTGTTCTTACATCACACAAAAAACTTGAATAGTTAGATAAAAATCTAAAGGTAATTAACATTACATACCTGTGAGCTAAGAGCTCAATGATTTGATATCCTGAATCAGCTTTTCTAAGTTGATACAAGAGGACCCGCCTTCCTTAATACTATCACAAGCCACCCTTGAAAGTTTATCAGATGATGCCATGAACTGGTCTCTTTTATATCCATCAGTTCTCTAACTAATTTCTCAACGATCGATCATCACAAATGTCCTTCATATCAAATCCATTTTCCAAACATCACTTACACACCTACTGTTAACGGGTTGGTCACCTATTTTTGGCCAACAAATCATGGCACTCCGGCAACAATACTCTCTAACGTCGAGTTCATCCACTGTGGGTAAAAAACCCACCAATACGGGGTGCACAAGACGTGCTCTTGGGGAGCCCAACTAACTATTAACCCTTTTTCCTTGGTATCCCTTTCCAGCTTCATCAGCAAATGACCAAACTGGCATCTCCAACAATCAGGTCGGATCTTAAGACCCATAAGAATGAATTTCCACAGTTAATTAAACCATGCCAGAACTCCAAGATTTGTTCCCGGTGAGTTTTATCACACCCCAAAACTAACATATAATACAGATTTTGACGGTTGAGAATCAAGCCACTTCAAACATTTTTGTCCTCTTTCCACAAATTACCGTTGGATGAATTTGAAGATGAGGAGTTGTCATTGATACGTGACTTCAAAGCATGTAGGGGACCAATGGGATAAATTTTGTTGAAAAAAGAACCCAGTCTAGTTATCATAGGAGCTTCAATTTCATTAAGGTGTTAGTTAAACCGGAAGCTCGAGTAACGCAGAGGTTTCTTTAACAAAGAACTGCAAAACAGGGTCATCGGCCTTTTCGAATCTACAAATCCCTGGAAGATCTCTACGGCGAAGAACATTTTCTAGCCCAGGAATGCATGAAATGGGCTTCTCAAGGTTTTCATCTGCAATAATTCAAGAAAATTACGATTTTCAGTTACCTTATAGTAGGCTTCCCAAATGGTATCAGGGTAGACTAGTCGAGCTTTAATTTTGGCAAAAAAATTAGCCCTCACCTGGAAATGGACTTCCCCTTCTTCAATAAGCTTGGAAAGATGAAAGTAAGTCCACAAGCAATGAGCACTGAAAGTTCGAAAAGTAATAGTAGGAATTTCAAACTCTTCTGCAACATCAATGGCAAAACACATAATACATCTCTGCGATTATGCGTGGGGAGTTGAACGGCCCCTTCTCCTCTTTAAGTGAAATCAACAACTCACGGAACGCCGGCCTTGGACACAGCCCTAGTGGAGCAAAGCAAATCTATAACGTATAGACCGAAACGTGGGTGATCGGGCGTTAGACCATCAGGGATAGACCTGAACTGAAATTTAGGGAAGCGATTATAGAAGGAGGATATGTCAATGTTGTGTAGTAGACGATCATGATTGTGATCTGAGTTTATGAAGGTGACTTGAAAACCCTCATGGCTAAGAAGCTCGGCTAGATTCAGCATGGGCTTGATGTGGCCCTGGGCTGGGAACGGCAAGAAGAGCACGTGAGGAACGTGTGTTTGCTCCATTGTTGCGACGGTTGTGAGGAGCTTTTCGGGGAGTGGAACTGTGTTTCAGGCACAAGAAAATGGTTGAATGGCGACGAGAGATTTTTAAAATTTCTGTAAAAGAAAAACAGTACTGAAAAAAAAAATAAGACACGCTGGAAGCTCGATGCAATAATGATGGAACTTCACATGAAGTGAAGATTTGCAATTTGCGATTAAATTAACACAGTATCAATTAGTTTTTTATTTTCCCTTCCAGAACTTTTGTACAACGAGAAAATAATTTATGATCACTAAATTCAAAGAGGAGTTTTATTGTTCAAAAGGCACTTGATATGATACTATAGTGATTAAGAATGTTTGTTTCATTTTATTGGCTTTTTGGATGCAAACTACCTTAAGATTATTTACTACATTTATAATTTACTTGAAATATTAGGTTTGTAGCCGGTGTAAACTCATGATTTAAAAAAAAAATAATTAGAAAGATTATAAGTCATTTGAAAATAGAGCTGGGCATTTGGATCGGGTCCAAAACCTGACCCAAAAACCCGGTCTCAAAACCAG